AGACTACAACTATAGACTTTGGATTTTTTTTAAAACAGGACGTTTGGGGGTGGTAGGGCACATTTTCTGTGCTGTGGTTTGTAGAGGAGTGGTGAGGAACTGCATTAGTGACACGCAGAGGTCATGAATGGATGGCTGCTAGTCCAATCTACTGTCCCCATAATCAAATAGAGAGGATGGCACTCTTATCCAAGGATAAAATGGCATCAGCAAAATGCAACCAAGTCTGCTTTAAAAGGTGGTATTGGTGGTCTGGTTTATGCGAAATCATAATTAGTCCAATAACCAATCTGGGGTAAGTGAACTGTTATTGATGACATAATTTACATCTTTGTAGCATGATAACATGTTCTGAAAAATGTATATATACATATACATATATATAAAAGAAAAATGTATTTTTGTGAATGATAGCTGTACATAAACTTTCTGAAAAGGAAAAAACTACTAAATATTTACTCAGTTTACTACTTATGTATATGTATATTACTATGTATACAGTATGTAGTACTTAGATTTTCTTTCTGAAATGAAAAAATATGTAAATAATTCACTCAAAATTCACAAAAGAAATGAAAAAATTGGCTACAATCCATTGACCAAGCTGTCAGTGCTAGAAACCAACAGTGCAGGGACTTGCAGGCTTTCAGTGATCCTGTGATTTAATTGCTGTCACAGTGAACAGAGCTTGAGACATCATTAAACTAAACATCTAGCTGGTTAACATGGAATGCATGCAAAACATCCATTTTAGTTAAATAAAGTCAAGGCTTTGGTTGTAATCCATCCAGCTTGAAGGGTTACTCTCGTAAATACTTAATGGACCGAGTTCATATGAACTCTTATCATGAATGAACAGAATTCACTGTGTAGAGTTGACTCCTGTTTACCCAAGCTCATCAGTTATTCAGAGCTAATCAGCCTGAGATGCGAGGATCAGCAGGCAGGCAGGGTGACAGCGAGCGTGCGTGCGTGTGTGTTTGAGAGATGGAGAGAGAGAGAGAGAGAGAGAGAGGTGTTGCTGTGAGAACAGACCTCCACTGCATCGCTGCTGGAGCGCACGCTACACCACGTCTCTATCCATCTCTGTCTCCACTCGTCTGTCTTTCGCTTGTGATTCCATACAAAAGTGCGCTATGGACACTCTCCGTTTGCTCCAGGTAAAATATGCCAGGATTGTGTCTCAAGTTAAATATGCTGGAGTTTTTCTGTCTGTCTATTAAGTGAGCTGTGAAATGCTTTCCTGCTTGGAGAGACGACAGTAGTGAGTGTGTGAAATGGTTAAATGACTTGGAGGCAAACTCAGAAGTCAGCTCTCTCATGCCAGGGTTTCATGCATGGCTTCGAGAAGTAGTGAAACACTGTGCGTAATCCTGTTGGATGCTGCACAGCACATAGTTTAGAGCTTGTTAAATTTTGTCAGCTTATTTTCTTGTCTCATTAAATTCTCAGATCCATGAGCATAGATTTGGGATACCATATGAATGGAAACATGTCCCTACCACAGTTAGAAACTACTGAATATAGTGCTTATCATTATTGCTGCTGTAATTGTATGTAATTTAAGCATTGCATGTTTCTGGCATATTTTTATTGGTTAAATTATTTTATCTATAAATATAAATTAACAGGGACACTACTTGCTGTTACAGTTGTTAGTTGTTATTCACTGAAAATCCAGCTCTGAAGTCTCATTCTCCATTTTCTTTACAAAATTGTTCAAAAGTTTAGGGTCAGTACGAAGCAGTGAACTCATTTATAATGTTACAAAATATTCCCATATAAAATAAATGCTGTTATTTTTAATAAATAAATAATAATAAATGTTTCTTGAGCAGCAAATCAGCCTTTGGAAGAATGGAGTAATGGCTGCTAAAATTCAGGTTGCCATCACAGGAATAAATTACATTTGAAAAAAAAAA